TAACACTCTTTCAATGGGATATTTGCTGGACAAACGGTCTCATGTTTCTGGGAATGGGAAATGGAGAACATGAACACACATCAATGTCCCTGCAGACGCTGGCTGATTTATGCTGTGATCCTCACCCTTGCAGGCAAGGTGGTGTGTTGGCACTCACTAGCTCTGCAGTCCTGGGTCTGTCAGCATTCCCACCATAAACTTCTGTTTTTAAAGGTTTATGACTTGGCTATAAAATGCTGCCTGGAGGGGGTGGATCTTACAAAATTGTTTTAAGTTACAAGAGACTAAAAAAAAAAAAAAACAGCATAAAAAATAAAATGTCTGTAATTTCAGACACTATCTAGTGCTTCTGGAACTTTGAAAAGCCTGTAATTGTGCTGTCTGTGCACCCTACTGGCATTCAAATCAATGCTTTGAAGTTCAATGTTTTAAATATAAAATGAAGATACTCCTTTTGCTTTGAAGAGATGGTTATCAAAGAAGATTAACATATAGCTTTCAAGTAAAATAATAATGGGGGTCTCTCTTTCCAGTCAAACGGATTTTAGAATTTTAGAATCTCCTGCACATGAATTAAGGACCACAGCCAGTGGTTATAAGTGACCAATGGTAATATTCAAAATGAAGCCTGCTGAAAGGATTGTTCAGGTTTTGTGAATTGAGATAGTCATAAATTCAACAGATATGCACAATTCACAAGACACAGTTATAGGGTGGCTGTTTTCCCAGTTGAAGAAGCATATTCTTTTGATAATGCTTGTGGCACTGTGAACTTTTAGATGAAGAAATAGTGTGTGAGCCAATACTAGTTGGGCTGATGCTACTACTGTTTTCTCGAACATTCCAGTACTCCTTATCTCAGAATTGGCTTATCCCTGTCCTCAAATGTTGTCTTCCTACATATTTCTATAGACAAAAACCCAAAACTTTAAGTGAGTTCATTTATTCATCATCAGAAATTTGCTGAAGATCAATTATGTTTCAGAGAATGTTCTAGGTGCTAGAACAGACATGAAGATGAATAAGGCATGGTCTCTCCCATTGAAGGCTGTGGTCCCCAGCCTTCCAGCTGTGGACCAGTACTGGTCAATGGCATCTTAGATGGCGTCGTGAAGCACTACCACCTGAACTCTGTCTCCTGTCCCATCCCCATCCCACCCCATCCTACTCCAGTCAATGGAAATACTGTCTTCCATGAAACCTTTCCCTGGTACCAAAAAGGTTGGGACCACTGATCTAAGAGGTTCGTGATTAGTGCATTTTGAGAAAGTGATATAGTGTAACAGAAGCATCAATACGCTACGACTCCATCTGGAAAAGTCACTGGTGATTTGAGCAATAGTTCTCGAGGTGTAGTTCTCAGATAAGCACACCAGGAACTTGTTAGAAACACAAATTGACTGAGTCCTGCCTCAGCTCTACTGACTTTGAAACTTTAAGAGTACAGCCCAGCAATCTGAGCTTTCCCAGACCTTGATCCTACGAACCAGTCTGAGTGAGCCAAGGTAATGCTTCTCCAGTGGAGAGAGCTGCAGAGTCCTCTGAAAGGGCTTGCTAATATACAGATTACCCATTGCTGCCAACTCCCACTACCAGGTTGTTGATTCAGTTGGCTGGGAACAGAAAAATTTACATTTCTGACAAGTTCTCAGGTGGTGCTGAAGCTGCTGATCGGGGAGCAACATTTTGAGAACCACCGTCCCAAGACATCTGCATGTAATCCAATAACAGCTCTATTCTGAGAAGAACTGAGAAAGAAAATGTGACACAAACTATCTTCTGTTTTATGGTTCAGATGGGAGTTCCAGATGAGAAAGGCTGAAGGAAAAGGGGATGGGGTGATATTTTTAAAAGGAAGAATATTGTGCAAGGGTTAAATTACAAATAATCAAGTTGGTGAAGGCGACAGCTACAGCTGTGTGAGAAACTGCAAAGCAAATGTGACAGTGGAAGGAATTGGGAATCTGGAGAGATCTAGTTATGTAAGGCATAGGTAAAATCACTCCCTCACTCCGTCAATGCAGGTTGGTCATGTGGGATCCTGCTCCTCACAACTTAAAGTCTAAAATACATGGAAAATGAAATACTTATTCTGCCTTCGTTTCCTGGCTTCTTACAAAAGAGAGTCAGATTCATATTTCACTTTATTTCCTTGGCATAAGAAATCATTGGCTGAACTTGCACTTAGGTTTTCCCTTTCAATCTACATGCTATTTTCCAAAATTGGAAAATAAATGATTTAGAGTATAGAGACCTACATTTCAGTATTGGCATATGACTCATAATTCATATTCAAAGCTCAAAGTTTGAAAAGGCCATTGAGTTTAGGTATTCAGGAACTTCATGGAATGATCATTATAAAGTACAATACCTCCCATCCATCCATCTAGCCATCCATCCTATAATGAAAACAGAAACTTGACTTTAAAAAATGTCCAATTTCTGAAGACAGAAATTGAATAATGAATTTGATTCTTTTGCAACTGTGATACTTTTTATTAAAAAAAAAAAAAAACCACTTTTATAGAAGCTGTAACAACAGTAACTAACTTTGAAGCCTGGGGTTGAACTATTCTTTGAAGAAAAGATGTTCTTCAAAGGTGAGTAGGCAGAATTCAGGGGGAAAGCATAATATAGCCGGTCAAGGAGGGCAGTTTGTGCCCCGGATCTGAAGCAGGACGAGTCAAGGCCAGGGGGATGAGTGATATCAGCAATGACACTGGAGTGGCTGGCAAGTGAAGTCACTTGGTCTGAATTGGAAGATCGTAAGCAGGACCCCAACAAACATGTTTAGATTCGAAGGGCTCACCTATGGCTACCAAATATAAAATACGAGGGAGAGGGAGAGGCTGCATTCAGAGCAGGGATAAAATATCAATTTAAAATTCCCACCCTTCCTCAGTTCCTAAAAACAAAACAATAAATAAATAACTTGATGTTTTACTTTTTCATCATGACTTCATGACATGTCATGATTCATATGCCATTGTTAGAGTTTTGCCTCCTACAATACAGATTGTGAGATTTTGCACCTAAGACTATGCTTCATTGTAAGCAAACTCTTAGTATACAAGGATGATAAAGGCAAAGAAGTGTCTGTGCTATGAGTTAAACTTTGTGTCCTCTGAAATTCATATGTTAAAGTCTTAGTGCAGTACCTGTATTCTAGCACCTCAGACTGTGCATGTATTTGCAGATATGACCTTTAAAAGGGCAATGAAGCTAAAATGAGGCCATTAGGGTAGCCCTAATCCAAATATGACTGCTATCCCGACAGGAAGAGATTAGGACGCAGGTATATACAGGGAGATGATGTGGAGACTCAAGGAGACAACAGGACCCATAAGTCAAGAAGGAAAGTCTCACAAGAAACCACACCTGATCTTTGACTTCTAGCCTCTAGAGTCATGAGAAAATACATTTCTGTTACCTAAACCACCCAGTCCGTGGTATTTTATTATGGCAAGCCCTGGCAAATTAATATTCATATGCTTTGTACCAAAAAAAAAAATCCTGTTTAAAAATAATTATCATAGATCTTCTTAGAAAACATGTTCTCTTGATGAATTTGAAATGTGTTTATTTCTCAGCAGGAGTACAAATGAAGGAGAAACTAATTCATTAGAGAGAGTATTTAGAGGGCAGGCTATAAAGAAAGAAGAAAAGAAAGAAGAAAAGCGATCTGTGTGCTGCATGAAGTGAGACATGGCTGATGTCTCAGTGGACTCCCACATTGCTCAAACCCCCAACAGCGGTTACAATACTCAACAATGACTACATTGGCCAATTACAGAGATTCAAGTGGTGTCCCTGCCTCTTCCTTGACCATGGAAATCAAAGTTGTCAATGTTCTGAAAGCCTGAATCCCTCAGGCACACAATGAAGTCAGGAATATTTTCTTCCTTCTGCTAATCTGTGTTCAAATTATGAAGCATGTACCTCACAGATGACTACTTTGTGTATCACATTAGAAGGAATAAAAAGCATTTTAGGACATGGTCCACAACGTCAAGGAAATGAAGTTAGAGATCAGTTAACATTTACATAACAATTTGTTATCTTCCAAAAGAAGTTCCTTTGAACTAGTTTTGCAACTTCTGGCAGTGCTCATCCTAGGTGGACACACCTGTGTGCAGTGAGTGGGCTAACTTCCAGATGACACTTGACAGCCATCCATTCGTCCCTGTTAAATCAGCTGCAGACACACATAAACACAGCAAGCGAGGGGCATACTGCTTTCATCTTCTTCATTGTCATTGAGCAGTTTCTTTTTTCTCTGTTGTTTCTTTAGCTTTGTTTTTCATGAAAGCCCAGCAGGTACAATCATTTTAACTCCATTCCTGGCTGAGATCCTCTTTGGTAAACATTCTCTTAAAGTTAAAATGAAAACTACTCTTCCTTTTCCAACAAGAAAGAAATACATTTTTCTTCCTGTACTGCCTAAAATATCAAAAACACTCAGCTAGGGCCTCTTAAATGCAAAATTCCTCCTTGACCTCCCCTAACATTTCTGGATTCCTTGGGACTTCCCAATAACTCCTGTTTCTCCAAATCTTTCTTCTCTTCTCTTCTCTCTTCTCCTTATTGAGAAATTCTACCACCTTTCTCCTTTGGAAATCAATACAAAAACATTTAGTTTCTCCCTTCACCACATGGGCTCTTTTGCTCTGGGGTAGAGGGAACTTATTATCCCTGGCAGGAATTGGCAGCATCTGCATTTGTTGATCTACAGGCATGGAGAGGATTGGGAATCGGGTATGCATATCATTATGATTTGGGACACATAAACACTTTCTATGTACATATTTTAGCAAGCACCATGTATTTATAATAACATCAGAATTCTTTAGCTCCAAGCAAAGATTCAGAGAGAGGACAGGTCTGATAAGCTACTTTTTTTCTTTGCATATCCAGTTGCTTTGGGTCTCAGTACTTAAAAGGCATGGAATTAAAAGGGAACAATGAAGAGAGATGGATTACATATGGTGCAAGAGTTTTACCTGGCAAAGCCAACGCCTCTGCTGACTCCATTAGCATCTCTTAGTATTCTTGTAGAAATGACATGTCCGAAGGGTTTCAGCATATTCTCAAGTTCCTGTTCGTCCATAGAAATGGGGAGATTTGAGATGTATAAGTTTGTTGGGTCTTGCTCTTGTTGCTAAGGGAAGGAAGGAAACAAATGCAGTGTGAGTTCTGAATATTGAGAAACATTGCCCAGATGGAGAAGCTTTTGCTTAACCCATGATCTGGATTCACATCTTCCATGTGCTCTTGAAAGTCCTCTCACCAGGGGTATTACTTTTTCCAATGGAATCTCCTTCTTTGGCTGAATGTTTATCATAGACTCAATGTCATTAATGAAAGCCAAGCTCTCTGCCCATCATTGCTTAGAAAAGACTAGTAGATTTTTATTACAGTAGAACCTCAGCAAATCTGTATATTCTAATACCTCTAACTACAGCTTCCACAAACACTATAACTATCATCAACACTAATTACTGATGTTCTATGTAGTGAGAGCTCAGACCATGTTAGGCATTGTTTGAAGCACTTAATAGGCATTATTTCATTCAATAGTCCCAATAAATATAATTGCCATTTATAGATGAAAAAACTGATTCCTAACTTGTCCAAGATACACAGCTCATATTGGTGACAGCCAGGGCTGAAATCTGGGCCTATCGGCAAATCCATGTGTTTCCCTGCCCTGCTGTCTTGCCTTCCATTAGACCAAGGAGTTTCAAAGTGCGGTCCCAGAACTGCAAACTCAGCTGCACCAATACCTGGGAACTTATTAGGAATACAAACTCTTAGGCCTCCCCCAGAACACCTAAATCAGAAACTCTGAGCATGGGCCAAGCAATCTGTGTTTGGACAAGCTCTCCAGGTGATTTTGATAACTGCTCAAGTTTGAGCATTGCTGTCCTAGACCAAGCATGAATATTTATACACAAATATGATTATGATGTCTATCATTTTCTAACTCAGCAGGAATAACAGTTCAATAAGTTTTGCTTAATAGAATGGGAAACCAAATCACAATCGCCAGTGTCAGTTCTAGGGGTATGAATACTCTCTATTTCGTATAATAAATTAATGTTAGAACTTAGTTGTACTGACATTCAAAATAAAACACAACCCTAAACCTGACATAATTCATCATTAATGCAAAAATGTTAGATATTTAATTGACCTATTATATTTAAATCAAAACAGTCATCATAATTTCAAGGATAAGTAAGAGATTAAATCAATAAAGAAATTCTGAAGTCTATTAGAAATAAAATATCTTTTGTGAAGAGATGACATCAGAGTAAAGTTGGAAAATGTGTGGTTTTAAACACAATGGAAAAGTACAATGAGCAGATTTCAAATATTATTTCAGGTCAAGAAACAATTTTGGTATAAAGCTAAATTCCACTATTTTTAACAGTTCTAAACACTAAGGTCATAATAATGCTTTTATTAAGCTTTGGAATGAATAAGATCTATACTTAGTTTTATTTTTTTAACATACTTTATTTTTCAAAATTTTAGCATTATAGAATATAGTAAAAATAAACACAATCAACATGACAAAGACAACTAGAGTCTTTAATGTTTAGCCGTAGTACGAACGAAGAGATCACAGAATTGAAGTTAGTCTCTCTTTCTCTCTCATTCACACACCACAATCATTACACAACCCAACACTACCAAATGGCATGGTCCTAGAGAAAAAACAGAGATATCATTATCCTTACCTAAGTGGTTTTGATCTTTGTTTTTGTTTTGTTGTGTTTCAAACACACAATAAGAACCTTATTTACATAGAACTTTTATTTAATTTTATAGATTTTCACTATTCAACAAATTTTAACCTTCACATCATCACTCCTAAGTTACTTTGGCAAATATCATCGTATTTATTGAATAGTGAGGAAATGGAGGCATGAAAGACTCATTATCTCACCCAAGAACAAGCCAATAATTAGGGACAAGGTTAAAATTAAAATTAGCAACCAAAGTTTCTATCTTCCAGCTCAGTGTATTTTCCACCAGCCCAATGTTTTCCACACTTCAATCATTTGCAATATCAAATCTTGGCAATTTTTCCAGCCATGTGTTATTAGTTATTTAAAATTAGTTTCTAAGTGAACATATCTATGGGGCTTAAGTAAATTCATTTAAAAAGATAACTTTATGTTATCTTTAATTATCTTTAATATGTTATCTCAATATTTTTAAATATAACTAAATATTGTTTGTTGGCAGAAGGATCTAGCATATCTGGTTGCTCTCTCTTTGTTGCAAATGGGACTCAGGACTGACAGAGGTGTCAGAAGTACATTAACACTGACTGACTCTTTTTCCTGGAAATGGGGAAAAGATGGAGAAAGGGAAAACTTTCTTATGCTGTAACTTCTGAGTCCCACTATTCAAATTCTATGAGAAGCACATGCCCTATTTTTGGGGAGTTCCTCATCCACCAAGAGCTTACCAGTGAGTGGGTCACAGAAAATGGTAGTCCTATGAATGGGTAGGAATTGACCCAATATTCTGCACCCTTGTGTTCTCAATCATCAGGCTAAATAACCACAAGCAACCTATGTCATTGTCCCAGAGAACTGTACTGATCTTACCATTTTCTCTAGGCAGCAGTGCACCAATTTGCCCTCATGCAAATTCATTTCCAAATTTCCTAAGTGTTGAATGCATTACAGCTTCTCAAAATGATGCACCACAGACACACAGAGCTTAGTACATAAGGGATTGCCCAGTAAGCTATGTTCTGAATCCAAATTCAAATAACAAGGACATCTCCTTAATTTATATTCACAGAGACAATATAGCATTGGATGGTGTCATTGCTTAATTTGTATTCACAGAAAGAATATGACATGGGGCAGTGTTATTTATTCTGTCTTTTGAAATGTAGTATTAGTCTTGAATATATTTGTTGACAATAGAATTTATGTTCTGCATAAAATGCACGTTAAAATAATACTTATGCTTATATTTTTACATTCAATTTTATTTATATATCAGACTTATGTAAATGATGGTCATTTTCAAAAGCTTTATTGGCACTGTGAACTAAGGCATGCTTTCCTTTTAACTACCCAGAAGGATTTCTCATGTGATAACTGCAATCTCAAAAAGGTCTTAAAAGTCTTATTTTTGTTATTAACTATTTTTCATGGGCACTTAGCTCCAGAATGGACATAAGGAGGCAACTTCTCCAATCTTATAATTTAACAAATTGAAAAAACAAAAGCTAGAGACATGCTTAGGATTTTCCCAAAACCAGGTTAATTAGTAACTGGCTAGAAATAGAATCCATATCCTTTTATATTTGGTTCAGTGTTGCTAACAATTTATGATACTGACTTTACTTTTGAAATCCAATGACCAGTAAACAATAGGTTTTAGTTCAATGGAAAATTAATATATCTGAATGTCTTGTTTTATTCACTTTGGCCTAGTCATCAATTAGCTTGAGATACAAACTATGACGAGAAAAAAAGAGTTCCTCACATAGTTACTGAACGAATACTGTGCATACACCTGTTTGTAAAGTATGTACTTTACAAAGGATAAAGTATGACTGCAATTCATACATTTAGTTCTAGTACATTTAATTGGCCATGTCACTATAAGTAACTTACAGTGTCATCTGTTTTAACATCTTTTCATCTGTAGAGAGATTTCTAGATTTATTGTTTAGTTTTGCCAAAAGCTCATGAACAAATAAAAAAAGTATCTTCTCCATTGTTAATAGGAGCACAGATCTGTCATTTTATGCAAGAATATGTAAATAATTCAATTTTTTGCAAATGACTTTCTTTCCCTCAGGTTTTTAGTATATGTAAACTGCCATAATAGGATTTGTTGACATTCATTTGCTTTTGATCAGTTTAAGACAATTTCATTATTTTAGAACATTGCAAGATTGCTAAGCAAATTAATATTCGTGGAGGACAGAAAACATTTCCAGCATCTCCATCAAAGGTTATGCGTGGGGTTGTTTTTTGAATATGCATTATGGCTAATATATACACCCAGTTCTGAAGATGTCTGTTAGCAGAACACAATCTCAAAACCTAACAACAACCTGAGGGCACACATTTGATGAAATGACATTTAAATGATCTGGAAGTAGGCACAGTATTGGCTTTAAATAAAGACTGTTAGGGAAATTTTTCTCAAGGTACTTGGGATAGGAAACCTTTTCATTCTAATCTTCATGGGCCAATCATTTTAGAGCATAATAAAATAATTAGTCAGTAGAAAATAAAATCAAAAGATAAGCAAAATGCAAGTTCCCACTTTTATTATTACTTTCAACAGACACAAAATTACATTTCAGATTTGATGTTTTGTCAATGTCAAATCATTATGACATATCTTAAATGCTTACTTTCAATTTCTGATATATTTCATCATGGACAGTATCAGTTGGTGGAACAAACTTTGAGTAACACTGCTTTAGAGATATTGCTATGTATTTCCTTTTATAACATAATACCCTGTGAGGCTTAGTTATTATTTTTTTTTGATTAATTTATCTGAGATGGGAAGACCAATTTTCATCTTACTTTGTTACCCAGGCTAAACTGCTGTGATAAGACCATTGCTCACTGCAGCCTCAGACTGCTGGGATCAAACAATTGTCCCACCTCAGCCTCTTGAGTAGCTGGGACTACAGGGGTATGCCACTAACCCAGTTGATTTTATATATATGATAATCTTATGTAAGTGATAGGGTCTTACTATGTTGACAAGCATGATTTTGAACTCCTAGGCTCAAATATGACCATCCCACCTAGGCTCCCCAAAGTGCTGGGATTATAGGTATGAGCTACTGTGCCTAGCCCCTATCAAGTTCTTTTTAAAACAACATAAAAATTTTACTTGACACATAGTAATAGTACATATGTAAGGGGTAGAGAGTGATATTTTGATGGATGTATGTAATGTGTAATGATCAAATCAGGGTAATAATAATAATACATTCATCACCTGAAATGTTTATCATTTCCTTGGGTTGGGAATATTCAAAATCCTCTCTTCTATTTGAAAATATAAATAAATTATTGTTAGCTATAGTCACCCTACAGTGCTATAGAACACTAGAACTCATTCCTCTTAATTAGCTGTAATTTTATATGTTTTAAC